GCTTAGGGTAATAACCTTGGACTAGAAGTGTTATATAAAGGTCCAGTGTGTGCTGTAAGCTGAAGGTGGCTTAGTCAGAATAGAAGAGTTGCTGTCAAAGATGGGCAGGTCAAGGAACTGGCAGCCAGGTGTTAGATGAGTCATCCCTTTGAATGTTGAAATTTCCCAGGGATACGACAAACCTTGAGGTTGTGATGAAAACCATAACTCAGTGCCAGGTGCTTTGATGAATGTGCGAAAGTGACCAGAAGGTCACACATAATTGAGAACTGACCATAGTTGGCATGGTTCTATAAGAATTTGTATGATTTCTCTCCAGGGAACTATATCTGCTAAAGGTGAATATTAATGCAGTTGGCCCTTTGCAACTGAATGTGGTTACTGTATTTATTGGATTTATATAGCCCTATAATTTTGTTTTGAATAATTCTTAGACACACCTAAAAGTTGGAGAAGAATTTCATGGGAAGAAAATAAACAAGATAAGTCTGGAAAGGTCTCTTGGGGCCACTGAAATATGTCTAAGTTACGTTCTTGGGTTTATTCTATAGGAGCTGGAATATCAACAAAGCCTACCACTGATTTGTCTAAAGTTGTAATGTTATGATAGCTATGCTTTATAAAGAATCACTTGGAAGTGTGCTAGAGAGATCAGAGAAGGTAGGGAAGACCAAAGGAGGGCGATTAAGAGTGAACTACAGTTGTCCAGGTGAGAGCCTATCACACCTCAAACAAGATTAAGGGCAAAGGAAGGTGTGTGTATATATATACACATGTGTATATATATATACACATGTATATATGTGTGTGTGTGTGTGTATATATATATATATATATTTCAGAGAGAAAATGTACAGGTTAAGACTCAGTTACCAGCAGGGAAAGTAGTCAAATACAGAAGTGAGTAGGTCAAAGGTATATCCATAAGCAGAAAGCAGCGAGCCAGTGGGGTTTGTTTTGAGGAAGGATACACCTTACATTTTATGCTGGAGCATATGAAGGGGAGGATGACTATGAATGTAGGTATTAAATGCACAAAATGGATAGACTGCAAAAGCCTCCTGTGGTTAACTCCCTCAGAGCAAGTGCCCATCGGCCTCCTCCTTCCTCCTTGAAGCCAACTGGTACTCATCATGCTTTCTTTCTGCTTTTACTCTCCTTATTATTTCCATCATTTCCTTGCTGTTCACTCTTTACATCTGAAGACAGTATCTTCTCAGTACCCCACTTTGCAGCTCCTTCTCTAGCTTTCAGCCATTTGGTGGGGGACCCGGCCCTTCTTTCTTACTTAGCTGTCCTTGTCTCCAGCCGCCCACCCTAACGCACTTTCATGCTGTCTGTGGCTGCTATTTTTGCTTATGTACCTCCTCAGTCAGACATTGGGATGTTAGAGGGTGGGGACTCACTAAAAGTGTTGGTATAGTTACTCTTTTTGAAGGGATCAATAATAATTTAATGAATTAAATATTGTTTTATTGACAGGGTTTTAAAACTAATTTTAAAGGCTTTATATTTTGAAGCATTCATTTAAAGAGTATGAGCTCTATTAAACAATTCCAACAAGTCCACAATCACAACTGTTGAGGATGAGTGTACCAAGGCTCAAGAACTTGTACACATTTTTCCATATCATAGTGGTTCTCTCTTGTTTATAAATTAAAATAGGTAAAAATTGGCCCTGTTTATTTTGTCCTTTCTTAAAGCACTCTCTAACAAAGCCTGTATAAATCTATATTTTAAAAGCAGCATTTATTCTTGGAAATGGGAGAATACTCCTGTGCATTTTCTCTCAAAGATTTTCTCTTAAGGTTTACTGGTATCTTGAACCATGCGTATGAACTATTTTATGTATTTGTCCTCCAAAACTGAGTCTTTAAATCTTAGATTTCTCCATCAACAATTCTATGTCTTTTCCACCTATATAGATGATATATAAGGACTGTCTGCTCTGGAAGATGTCCTCATTAACATGCCAGTAGATGATAATGGGACTGGCCAGTGTAGACAGTAAGAAGAAGGCTGTGGTTAGAATTCTGGGAACAACATATATTTGTTGGATTGTCCTAGAGAAAGAAATAGTAAGGTAAGTTAGATAGAAATTAATATCCAGTCAGAGAGGGACTGGGTTCTCAAGGAAGTCAACATAAAATTAAAGACATCAGAATTGTGACTGGAGGTGCATCTGAAGAAGGCCTGGCCTTGAGATAAAGATACAATGGCCAGACCCAGGGATTTAGCTCAGTGGTTCTGCCACCTGCCTCACGAGCTCGAGGTTTCAAGTTTGATCCCCAGTACAAAAAAAGAAAAGATACAATGGCCAGGCCTTCATGTCTCAATAAGGGATAAATAGTAACCTGAAATTATATTATAATTAGCACAACTTGGTCCAATAGGCCCAGATAGACATCAGTCGCCCGGATGGGAGACCAAAGCATTTGGATACAGTACTTCCCCAAAATGACTTTGTTCTTTCCATGTACCCTTGCTACGTGACTCATTTTCCTACTGAATCAATATTAGCTAAGCAGCTATACTTCTAATCCCATAGGTTGATTGTAGTTTGACCTATGTTGTACCCACATTGCGAATTTGCTGTATAAATTACTCCTGACAAAGAACCTCCTTGGCCATCATTGAGGGCTCTTCCTAAAAATCCAAGAGTTATTATTCTTTCTTTATTTCAAATAAAACTCTTAACTGCTTCCTTTGGTTCACAACTTCATTTCTTGATGTTCTGGGATGACAAAGTCACCACATTTGACATTTAACAGGCTAAGAGTTATATTTCTCCTGTATCAAGAGGAGCATTGGTCAAATAAGTAGACGACATGGAAGAAGGTAGTGCTGAAGACTTCAGGAGGAGAATCTGAAAATCCCGAGACAGAAAGGGATAATAGTTGCCAGGGGCTGGTGGAATGCGAGGTTGAGATGTGAGTGTTAATAGATACAGAATTTCTTTGTAAGATGATGAAAATATTGTGGAATTAGTGACGATGGTTGAACAACTTTATAAACATATTAAGAACCACTGAATTGCATACTTTAAAGTAAGGAAAAGTAAACTTACAAAAGAGAAAAATCAGAGGGAAGAAATGCTGAAGCATGAAAATCCAGTCACGTGCATCTAATACCATAGTTTGAAGCCTGATTGAAGGGTGATAGGATTTGGTGATTAAGAAGACAGCAGTGAGTTTGAAGATAGTGGTTTCAATAAAATAGTCACTCCCATATCTTCTTCTTTCTGCACCATACATATAAAAATTTATAGGATTATTCCCATATATATTTTTATCTCTATTGACAGAAAGTCTAATGATTATTTAGGTCTAGGATTGTATTCAGCTTGTATACAATAAAAAGACATCTGGATATGTTTCAGAAATTCTGAATATGTGTGCTCATACTTACTGGGAAGAAGCTTAAGTCTGTCATTCTTTCTGTCCTTGTAAAATCAAACCCATTTTACATGATCAGTTTAGTTCATGTGGACTTATTCCAAATATCACCTGCAATGTCCCTAAATGGAACAGGAGTGGCCTTCTTTGCATACTGTTAATAGCTTGGTGTAGTATTGCTACTTAGCATACAAGGGGTATAACTTCCCTACAGGGGTGTGACTATGCAAGGAATGATCAAACTATATGATAAATATTTAATTTTTAAAAAATTATTATGGTAAAACATACATTGTCATTATTCCCCAACAAAAATTTTCCCCTTACTTTAAATTACTTATACCATCATTTTTCCCACTTTCTTTTTTAAAAATTCATTAAGTTTATTGGTACATTTTAGGTATACAATATGATGAGATTCATCATTGGGAATTTGTACCTTTATATGATATACCTTGGTTCTTATTATTCTTCCCATTCCCCTGCCCTCCCTTCAACCCTGCCACCCCTCGCTATTTACGAAGATTTTGTTTCTGTTTTTTCCTTTTCTCATATTTTTTCCTTTTCCTTCTTTCCTTTCTCCTACCCCTCCCATTTCCCCTTTGGGCCTTTTCTTCCTATTTCACATTATCTATTATACATTTTGATCCTCATTTACACTTTCACACCAGAGAAACTATTCAGTATTTACACATGTGTATCCTATTTATTTCACTTGGATGCACATTCTTTCCACTTTCCAAAGCAGTTCTGGAAGTCCTCTTTCATGAATGTCTTTATGAGTTATGATGAAAAGTGCAATGAATGCTTCAATTGAGTGCTACCCAGCAGAAAGGTAGGCTTGTAAAAACATTACAGAGCGTCCTCATTTACCTTATTCACCAGATCTGTCACTGTGCAATGTCTGGCTCATCTCCAATGTCAAAATGACTATGAAAGGTATGTTTTGAATAAATTTGGACATCAAAGTAGTCCTAGCAGCACAACTAAAGATACAGAAAAGGGCTTTGAAAACTGCCTCAGAAAATGGCAAGAACAATCGAATGAGTTCAAAGTGAGGAACAATATTTTGAGGGAGATTAATGGCAATGTGTCTTTTACTGTAATACACTTTTAAAATTTTTCACACTCACTGTATTTTTCTACCATCCCTTGTATTATCTGCTTTGCCTCGTGACAGTTCATGGGTGGAATACTGCGGACTGTGCACCAGCCACGCATCCTCTCTGACCCACATTTCCTTGGTTTTCAAGAGGACAATAAGAAGGGTACTACACCTTAATTGGAGCAGCACTTACGAGAAAAATATATGAAAGTGCTTTGTAAACTATTAAACATATGCAAATTTATTTTAATTAATATTTTAAATAATGGATAAATCTTTTATTTTTAATTCTAAATTGCTGTAGGACAATCCCTCTTACTGCTTTGTGTATAGAATCACAGGCTTCACTTTCCTCACAGCTTACTGAGGGCTGCCTTGCTCAGGACTTACTGGTTGAATTGAAAACCATGCTAGTGAAAAATCTCCATTTGTGTATCATGACTGACTTCTCTATTGCCTTCATCCTTTGTTGATTTTTTTTCCTTCTGCTCTTAAATTAGGTTTTCCTAATGAGCCTGCTGCAGTCATTGCCCTTGGCACCATTAAGGAATGGCTGGCCAAGAATCACCAGGAGGTAAGAGAGATGGCTCAATCAGCATTCTATTTTTTTTTTTTTCGGTACCAGGGATTGAACATGGAAACCTGTGCTTTCGAGGCAGGTGCTGGAACCATTGAGCTAAATCCCTGGGGCCCTCAATCAGCATTCTAGATTGTGCAATGTGAGCCTCGGTTTCAAATAAAGCAACAGATAATTTTGACAACTATCAACTATACTTAGTCATTGAGTCAAAGTTAACTTACCAGTCTTCATTGGATTTCATGGGTGATGAAATATATTCCTGTAATCAATTGACAATCATGACTATATTGATTGGTTTGATAGTAGGGATGAGCAAAATAATCAGATTCATTTAGCTATAATCTCATTTTCACATTGTCGGATAATAAGGGATATACATGTGAAAGCTAGGAATAGGATGGATTTCATTAGGAATAATGGCTCTTCCTGTGCTATTTTCCTAACAGAGCTGTTTTTGTTGGTAGGGGATTCCTGTTGGACAGTAATCGTTTTGGTATCCTACACTGTATTTATGTATAACTAATCACGTCCCTAAAGTGACTCCTGAGTGTGATTGGAGTAGGTTCGGAAAATTGATAGGGCAATCATTATGACCAGGAATTTTTCATGAAACTAAATGCTTCCACCAGAGAATTCAGCATGCTTCTTAATCTGTTCATTTTGTAAAATCTTTTAGATATATTCAATGATGAACAGGAAAGTTACTCAAGTAAACAAAGCAGCAAATAACTAGAGGCCATAGAGCTTTAGGTGTCAGAGGTTTGTGGAATTATATATTATAGCAGCAAGCAATTTTCAGACAATGCACAATCTTGTGGATTTTCCCTCCACTTCTGATTTATTTTTTCCCCCATGAATGGCAACCTTAAGACACTATGAATAATTTGTTTCACTTTATGATAGATTGTTTGGCTTTTTCTTTGGGTGGGAGATGGATTATTTGGAAATAGTTGGTTATGGAAATAAGTCATAGGGGTTCCTAATGTGTGTGTGTGTGTGAAAGAGAGAGAGAGAGAGAGAGAAAGAGCGCTCTTGGTGCTTTTGTAGGTTTAAAGAGAACAACAGTGTTATTTTCTAATTACTGTACTTTTAACATTTCTTAACCAGATATGTACATTGTCAATCTCAAGTGAAAGTAAGGACCACATGATCAAAAGTACATTTCGGTGCTTTTTCCTTTTTCCCTCTTACTTTGAAATGTATAAACAAAGCAACTTTAGCTTAAAGAATACCTTAAATTACAAAATAAAATATCTAATATATATAGCATGCCTTTACCATGAGTCATTTTATGTTACAGCAACTATGAAAGATTCAGGATAGGCGTTATTATTTCCATCCACATCCAGTATCAAATGACATACTCAAGAATGGAAAATCACAGAGAGAGGAGTCTGATCCAGTTCTCAGGACTCCATTAGCCATTCCTCAGTGGGATGCCCTTGAGGCCAGGGAGGGAATTTTAATCCCTTTGAAATCCAATTATTTTTAATATATCTTTTTGTTATAGCAAATACTCCTCACCTGGACCTTCTGCTTTGCAAAGGATAGCATCTTTCATGAGTGAAAGTTGATAACTGTGCAAGTATATTAGTGCATGTCCATCATTTCTACTGACTAGTAACCCAGGGATGTGACCACTGGAGGAGGAAGTTCACCTGTGTCTTCCTGACAGCTGATGGGAGTACGCATAAACACTGCTCATTGCAAGCAGAATGACAAAGAGTCTATATTGCATTGATAGCTCACTGAAAAATTTTAATGATGCATTATCTCTACTTAGGCTAATCAGAAAATTATTCTCCAGATAAATTTCTTAGCCTCCTGTTTTCCTACATAGTTCATCTGCCTACCTTGTCTTTGAATCCATTTGCTTTTTTGCTTTCACATTCTTTTCTTGTATATTTTTTGGTCCATTGTAGAAAATTTAGATAATTTGAACTGAGAAACATAGGTTAGTTGTTGCAACTTTAAACATAACCTGTACCATTTCCCTTCAAAAAGACTCCTATTTCAGCATGCACTGACTAGCTTAAACAAGTTAAATTGAACACATCAAGTTTTCCTAAATAAGTGCATTATAAGTAATAGATCATAGATATAAAACTATACAAATTGATTATTTAGCACTATTTTGATTTATTTCTTGCTCTGTAAAGTAAGAGACTTACGAGAGAATATTGCTTCTGATTCGATTGTTTCTTCACTGCAGTATTGTTTTGACATTCTGATTGTTTCAGCTATCCATTAATTCACTCACTTGATAAATATTTATTGAATCTCACTAAACATGAGGCACTTTTTTATATACCAGGGACAGAGCATTTAAAAACAAACAATGCCTGCATTCTGATATTCATTGTCTAGAAATAAAGACACAAATTTAGGAAATGAATAAACAAGGGAGTTCCAAGTGTACTTTACAGAATAAAACAAGGTGACTACATATGAGTTGTTGGGGGATGTGGTTTTGGAGCATGTAGAGATTGCTCTGTGGATTCCATCTTTGAAGACAGATTTGTGTAGGGATGAGAGTAAGACAAGCCACCTCAAGTCCTAAGGTAGAATATCCCACATAGTGATGGTAAGACAGTCACTGTGATCAGAGCAGAAAGATAAAAGAAGGGCAGAAGGCAAATTTGGAGATAGAAGCAGGGGTCAGATTACAGTATAGGGTCTTGTGGGTCATAGAAAAACATTACATTTTACACTAAGGCTAATGAAAAGTTTTTTTGGAGGGTTGGAAAGGGAGTAACATGCTCTATTTCACCTTTGAGAAACAAGTTTAGCTACTTTTTGGAAAATGGCCTTTAGAGATACCAGAGTAGGAAAAGGAAGACTGATTAAGAGGCTCCTACAGTAAATCAGCCAAAGATGAAAGACAGCTTTGGAACACAGTGATGGTAGAAAAGGAGGTAACAAGCCCGTGGTCTGAGAGACAGAAATAGAGCTAACAGGTTTTGAAGGATTTTTCAGTTAAGGTAGAATAGCTAATCCTGCAACTACAGAAACCCTCCAAATCTCAGTGTCATAAAGTGGCAAAAGTGTATGTGTTGCTCACTGTATTGGCATATGTTGAGTCAGCAGAGGGCTGTGGTTTAGTCAGAAACCCAGGCTGACCCATAGTCTACCCTGTGAAATACCATCTATCATAGGACAGGAAAACACAATTTTTTTTGTAGAAATGCTCCCATGAAGGAATGGAATAGCTTTTCCTCACATTGCATTGTCCAGAGAAAGGCATATAGGGACTAAGTCTCAGGAGTCAAGAAAATGCTATCTTTGCATATGTTCAGCATGCAGAAAACTACAGCAAATAACTACCAGCGAGACCTTATGTTGTCTATTCTACAGGGAAATCAGATGTGGTATGTGACAAAACAGAAATCAAGAATGGCAACAAAGTTTTTGGCCCAGATATCTGGGTAAATTTTGGTACATTTACTGGGAGGAAGAAAAATTAGTATTGGAGCATGTTTATATGAAAAATATAAAGAAAACTAGAATTTATGTTAAGTAAGATTAGATTAGATATCCAATGAATATTTCAAAATGATAAGTTGACTATTTTTAGTCTAAAGAAAACTATGGGAAAGAAAAACATGGTGAAATTGAGCAAATCACCATAACATTAACTTGAGTTTGAGATTGCTTGAAAGAAGTAAAAATATATTCAACCCAGTTTAGGAGAATATGTTGTAGAAATGAACAGTGTGAAAAATGTCTTGAAATTCGAGGGCTAGATCTAGATCAGGGTCTCCTAATTTAATTCTGTATAATTTCTTGTGACTGGAATCCCCCACTATAAATTCATCAATCATACATCCAACAAAGCATCTGCTTTTCATTCCCTCTCATCCTCTTTTTCCCTCTGTCTCTGTTTCCCATATCCTAATTTCATTATTATTATTATTATTATTATTATTATTATTATTTTGTACATTATCTTCTGCACAGTTGCTTACACATGGTGCTATCATGACTCTACCTGTCCATTCATGAGTCAGTCAGCTCTACTTGAGGCAAAGCCAGCATTTACCTTGGCAAGTAAAGTTGCATCTTCTGGAACACTTAGCTGATTGAGTCCCCTGAAATTTTCCTTTTAAAAATAAGGAGTTATATGATGTGATTCTCCCTTGAGTAGCATATTTCCCTTATCCACATATGTATGTAATTCAATACTACACATTTTCTTGATGTTTGGCTATCATGCATCATACATAATTGATGTAATCATATAATTAGTGAGTTTTCACATTTCACCATTTATTTACCCTCTAATTTCTAAACCATTAGGAATAGATCCTTTTCCCCCCATCACAATACTTGATTTGATTCTGTGTAATTTCAAAAACCACTGCCAGCTAATGGGGCTGGACATTTCCACACTCATAGAGTCCTTAGGTCCAGTGAACAGAAGTAGAAAAACCATCTTTTATTGTTCACCACACTCTTGTTTAATTTTCCCAAAGTGTGAACTACTAGGGGACTGTAGTCACTAGGAACTTGAGGGACAGAGTCTAGCTGAACAAATCAGACAGTTAGGTCCAACTATAGTGGATCCAGTGGAAAGATGAAGCAATGTTTTAACATCAACAATAACAATGATGACAACAAAACAGAATTTTAAGATATGATAGAATTGAGGGGCAAAACTGATGTGCCAAAACTAAAATCTGTAAGGACTTCTGAATAGAAAAATTAAAAATTCAAAAATGATTTTTCATTGCTGAAAACTGAATTATTGCTATGAAAAGATCAGCTTGTGTTATCTCATAACACAAGACAAAAATACAAACAAATATATAGCTTGACTGAAGAGATAAGGCAAAAGAAACCTAGAGACCAAGCATGAGGTGGGCAAGAGATGAAGATTACTCACTGGCATTTTTAGCTAAATTAAGTGTTAAGAACTTCTAAGTTCAGAAAACCAAAAGAAAAAAAATGTCAATTGATTATTAAAAAATTGACAGCAGATAGCATGATAACCTTTC